CGTGGTTTTCCCCATGTGTAACGTGTATACGAGCCACTTTCCCTCAGAATGTCCTCCCCGAAGGCATCTCTCCCCTTAGGAAGATAGCCCTAGTGTGCTTTGCCCCAATTAAATAAATCAAACCAAACCTAATAGCTGTTCATAGAAAATCCTGAAACATTTACTCAAAGCTTATTCAAGATATTTTTATTGATAAATATTAATCAAGAGAAATTTCTAAATGATTTTTTTTTTGACGGGCGGGGAGTAAAAGGAAAAAAATGTTTTTAGAACTCTAAATATAAATTCATAATTATTTACGCATTATAAGATGAAATATTTTCGCTTTCAGTGTATAAGAATAAATTTATAGTTTGTTTGCACACACAGTATTCAAAATTTAGAAGTCAATAAAATTCTTAAACATGCTTTTGCATTAATTTTCATCCATTATTTATAGTAATAGAAAATGTTGCAAAATTATTTTATCAGTAACTGGATTAACATGTAATCTGCCTAGTGTGTCCTATGTAATATTTTCTCTCCGCGTGTAATATGTCTAATCTCTTTTACATATTATGCTACCATTTTTTTTTTTTTTTTTTTTTTAACACTAATTTCAACTTCTCGTGTTCCACAAAGTATACCACGAGATTTGTACAAGTGAGTTATAGCACTAGCAAAATAAATAAACAAATGTACAGTAATTAATCTCCCATTTGAAAAATATTGAAGAGAAACAATAAACTAGAAAACTGTTATGTGTGTGTAAACTGTAATGTATTATATGAATTAAAATCCTTATTTTTCAACGTAAATGATTAAAAGAAAGTTTTTCAGTGTACTAAGTATACTAGATTACTTTAAATACAACAATAAAAGTTAAAGTATCATCATTTAGCATTTTTTTCTTATTCTTATTCAGTATCGGATAAAAAAAGTATTTTTCGGAAGGCTAATAGTATATTTGTACACATCCTAAATGCAAGCCAGTTTTCCTTAACAAGTCGATCATGATATCCCTCCAAAGTCTAACAAAATAAGCATATGTAAATATAAGATCTTCAACTACCTCACCACCACCAAAATTTAGAATAATTTTTGTATTTTGAACGCTGCTAGAAACAACGATACCACTCATGTATGTATTAAAGTTTGCACACATAATCCTGAGCGCAACAATTACCTTATTAATCACATGGGTCTATCCCGACCTTCGTATAGGCTTTCCTTGATAGGGTGCATATTTCTGTTCACCTCTACCGAACGGAAAATTTTTCCTCAATTCTAATACAAAGGAACTGCCTACTTCATATTCTTTTGAGTTTGTGAAATAAATTAATTATTAATTTCAACACCTGAGTGTGTTAAATAGGGTTTCATAAATACATATAAAGGTGAAATGTTAAATTATCTCTAATTTTATTATCATTTGTTTATTTGAGCTCAGTTGAACAAAGGAAGATAGTTGATACACTTAAAGAAAAGAAAATTAAGTAAATGGTTCAAAATGCTGAAATATGGGTTTGGTCCACTTTGCTGTCAAGCCAATCTCTAAATACTTTCGACTTAAAATAGATTTATTCGAGACTGCCATTTCCGTGACTTCAAGAACGTATTAGAAGAAATCCCTAAAGATATTCTCCTCTAACCTTTAGTTTTCGATAAATCACAAGTTTTCTCTATCAAAGTTAATCAAGTTATCAGAGTCCCCATCCTTTCATCCTTTACACAGTGTATCAAGTAATTATCCCGGACTAGTCATTTTATCCAATCAAAACACGGGTGGACATATTTCATTATACCGAAGCGGGCAAATTATCCGAGCTCTTTCCAGAATCCGAAATACCTTAAATTGCTTAACGTAGACATTTTTTTATTCGGCGTACATCCCCATAGGCAATTATTTCCCTTTTCCACAAATTCTAGAACAATTTCTAAATCCGAATTCATCTAAGTTGATTAATTTAACGGCAGAATAACTCGAAGGAATTGCTTTTCGGATTCCGTAACTTATTCCCTAGAGCTATAAGGCATTACACTCCACCCCTCCCTTTCTTTGTCGAATAAGCTTTTGCATTATTCGATCAAGAGGTTATGAGATTGCAGGTGATAACTTTGCCATTGATATACAAGACTTGCAGTGAAACTCCTAATTTAGCAAATCGATGTATATTTCAGAAACCTTGAAGTAAAATGTAAAGCTATTATTTTAATGGTATGCAAAGTTTTAAATAATACAAATTGTATCTTCGGTAACAAAATCAATTTAAATTTTTTTTAATTCAAGTTTTAAAATTGCATATTATTTACATCATTATCTCTAAAATTTTGCTTCAAGAAAGAAATTTCTAATGCTGAAACCAATGCCTTTGAGTCTGAATTGAGTTTTATACTGAAGCCATGTTTACTGTTTCCACATTTAAGTCAGAGACTTAAAACTTATCTATAATGAATAGGCGGATCATTCATTGTAGATAAATTTTTTAGAAATCAAAACAATCATAGATAATCGCTGCTCGATAACAATGCATTGTCATTAGCTGTTGTTGGTAGGGACTGATCGATAACAGTATAGCTAGAAATTATGCTAAAAATCCTCACATAATTTAAAATATGTATTGATTGTTTCTTTATTTATACGTATTAAATACCGGAACTGTGTACGCATTAATAAATTTAAAAGTAATATTCAGTTATTAAATATATTAAACCACACGTTTATACTTTAGAATGTAATAAAATTAAATTTACTCATTTTTGCATGTTATTTGAAATATATCACACAAATAAAAGTTCTTTACTAGAATTATTTTTGATACAGGATGGCAATGAGGCAAGAAAGAACTTGAGGATTTAATTACCTCTTCCGTTAATAGTTAAGAACTTCGGAAGAGGAATTCACGATTATCATTTTACATTGGCATGCAAAGAAGAGACAAAAACTAGTGTCCAATTCTATTTTGATTAATTCATGTTGTTCAGAAATTAAATTTTCTCAAAATCTGGAAATGCCAATCAGAAGCATTCAGCCGAAACCGAAGTCTGAGGATAAAATTTCATTTTAGGAATGGACAACGCGCAGTTTAGATGGTTTGAAGATAGTCAATGTATTCTGCATACATTTTTATTAATTCCTAAAGAACACAGCATGGAGGAAGACGATTGAAGCATGGTTATGTGTTGATATTAGTGCTAATAAAATATGAAAACGCTTGTGTGGAACTTGATTCATAAAGTCTCGATTTAGAAAAGCTTGCTGTTTTAATAAAAAAACAAAAACTTATAAGTTATATGAACCAGAGAAAAACTTTCCGAATGTCTAAAATATTTTTCTTTTATTTTCTTTCACCACACGTAATTAAATCTTCACAGTTCGGACAGCAAATAAATGATTCGGTAGAGTAATAAAGATATTTTCTTTAGTTGTGTTTATTATAAAAAATGCTCGTATGTGACAGTATGAAAATATATTTCCCCTAACGAAACTGGTTATGTGAGAATTTCAAATCGAAGAGCGAACAAAAAATGAAAGAATCTTCAAAACTAAATTATTTCAAACAATTCAGGAATAATATCATGATGAAGAAATCACCACGTGAGACCTTAACTTTGCACAAGTCCAAGCATGATTGCAACAGTGCTCTATAAAAACGTTAAAAATGCTTGAAAACTGTTCGAATTTCAATCCAATGGAGAGCTGTTGACATAAAGTGACCTTTTTGATTCAAAATGATAATCCAATCATATTTCAAAGATAGTGAAATAAGTAAAAGGAGCTCAAAACGTTATTGTCCAGTAACAGAACGATGCCATGCATTAATAAAAATCTTCTGAAAAACCAGTTAGGTTATGAAAAGGTCCTACGTTGCTACTTTACGCGTAAAATTTACATTCACCACTGTTTGAAATTTTCATAGTTTGTATAAGTCACTTCATATTTTGGCATGTCCTTGCAGTTTTGTTGCGTCACACGTTTTCAACAACATTCGTCATTTAGCACCATGCTGCCGGTATGTCTCCGTTATAAAAGCACTTTTTTGCAATGCTTGCAGTGATACTATCTCTGCATTTCCTGTTTATGTGAGTTAATTTGCTTAACTATTTCAAAATAATATGCTAATTGTCAAAAAACATAACGAAGTGGCGCTATCTCATTTAATGGGCATCGTCCAAAAATGTTATATTTGAAACTATCATTGTATAGGGTTACACGTGATTTGGTAATAACCCTAACAGACGTGAAGCGAATTATCGCTATGTCTGAAATAAGTCTTGAGAGGGTTAAGAACAACCCTTTATTTAAAAAGAATTCAGAAAACAAAGGCACTCTCTTGTGCTGCAATTTCAACAAGTCAGGGTTATGCAAAATGAAATAGGACAGACCAGATTAATTCAAACGTTTATCATTAGTCAAGTATTACACAATTAGATACTACACTAGAAGATGGCTCACTACTCTAACGAAACGACAGAGTTAAAATGACGGCAGCGATAAAACGTAAAGCCGAGTAATTGCAACAATCAGATCTGGCAGAAAACCAACACGTTGCACTCACGCGATGCCTGAAACATGCTCTCCTTAATCCAAAATCTCAGCTTAAATACTCGCAACGAATTTGCATTCTAGTGAGGAATACGGAAAGGAGAAATTGTAGTAAATTCTGAAGTCATAAATAGCTGTTAATTAGCTTGAAATATCTTACAGTTTATTTCATTGGCAAGACAAAAAACAGATCTGGAATCTGAAGTTTTCTTCTGGGTTATTTCTCAAATGCTGAATATTTATAGATGCTTATGTGTATAGAAATAGTAAACGTGTTTCTGCTTTGAGAATCCAATAGTTTTTATGCTGACGAGCTGCAGGCAGATATGTTTTTCAAGTATAATTTATTGTCTCGTAACAAAATTTTTAGGTAGTAATTATTTCCTCATCAATATGATTATCTGGTCAATTCGCTTATTCGCGTATCCTATTTTTACTTCAATTGATGAAATAATAGTTACCGTTTTCTTTCCAGATGTGATTGTTATTGTGGCGTCTATCGTGGTGCTATCTGTGGGGAGCAGTGGACAGGTGTTCGCCACGTCAGCTTTAAGGGGCCTCCGATTTTTCCAGATCCTTCGTATGGTCCGCATGGACCGCCGCGGAGGCACGTGGAAGCTCCTAGGATCCGTGGTCTACGCACATAGACAGGTAAAGTAATACCACATTTCTTTCTGCATGTAAACTTTTATGAATAAAATGTAGTCATACTCAGGAATTAAATGATGCTTATGTACAATTCCAAAATAATTGAAAAATCAAAATATATTGCTTTTCTCGTTCATTTTATTTCACAGCAGCAAATCTTTTAATATACTTCGGAGGTTCGAATCCCGCGAACGGGCTGGCTGCATGGGTGTTTTCGTGGTTTTCTCCATGTTTCGTGGTTTTGTATACGAGCTAGTTTCCCTTAGAAAGTCCTCCACGAAGGCATCCCTTCCCTTAGGCAGATAGCTCTAGAGGCTTTGCCGTAATTAAATAACCTAACCTAACCTTTAATATATTACGCAAAGTAATTTAAAATGACACCGAATATTTTTCCAAAAAAGTTATTGTTATTCGTCTTTTCTTTTTCTCTTGTTTTTGTTTTGGCCATCATTTGCAATTGATAGCTTATTAACGTTATTGAATTCCTCTTTAGTAATTTCTCTTATGCAATAGCAGATTTTAATGCATGCTTTCTTTCACCTTCGGTTTTTTGTGAAATGTGGAATATTTTGAAGTGCTCTTTACCGGTGGGGAAAAGCAATAAGCAAATATATTCGAAAAGAATCGAGTACCGGTACTATCGCAAACAAATTTAAGGCAGAATTAACAAGCAAGCTGTTGAGGGTAGCTGCTATAAAAGCTGAGTTTGGCAGTTACGTCATAACGTTTTCCTGAGTATATGCTTTAAATTATGAATTTTAAAATGTCTGATTTAGCATGTAACATATATTGCAAAATGCCTATGAAAGAAAATCCTTTGCATATAAATTACCGTTTCTTCCAACAAATCCACCACATTCACTTTAATCGTTTTTAGACGACTAGTCATCATTGTACTGGATTTTTTAAAGAAACGTGATGAATACTTTGTCAAATAATTTATACCGCGCGTCACACGTTTGTATGGGAAAATGATTTTAATGTTTTTAATTAATTTTAATGTGTTTTGATTTGCTAGTTTTGTGTGGCTATAGAATGTAGAAAAATCATATAATGCTTATCAATAAAAATTAACAGTAATTTCAAAATTCTATTTTAAGTATTGATATGTAGATGCTTCAAAATTATGTACATGAAAAAGTATTTTTTAAGGCTGTAAGAAAAATTACATAGCTTGAAAGTTTTTCCAAATACCATTTTAAGAAAGTAATATTAGAGTACTTAAAAGAATTATAAATCTTACTTGGATTTTCAAGTATAATTTGCAGGCCTTTACATTAATTATTTAAAATATTCCTAAATTATACCTTTCAGTTCACTGATTTTTAATAACGTGAAAGGTAAACTATCAGTTCATAACTTTGTAGTACCTTTCAGTTCATTGATTTGTAATATAGTAGAGTCCCTCAAACTCGACTCCCGATATCTCGACATTCCCTATAACTCGACAACTTTTTAGGAACTTCTTTAAGGTATCTCTAGGCCAAACAGAGCAAATATTAGATACAGTACATATAATTATTATTTATGCGTATGTCTTTCCTGTTCTATTCTAAGATTTCAGTGTTCTTTTTCTGTAGTTTTTGTCGTTTTCGCATTGTGCCATTAATTCATGGAACTGCCTAACAAATTTCAAGATATGTTGTAATACTTGGCAACGCTATTTGCTTCTTTCGAGGATATGAAGAAAGTCAGGTAGCAGCAGGCCGCTGGCTCACATTCCTTTCCATTGTTGCGAAACGTTAGGAGACTTGTCTGAAGATTTGTGGCTGCATCTTATTGCAAACTAAATTAACACCAGTTCATTGAGGTATCGGTCCTCAATTCACATCCAGGAGTATATAAGTGTTCACATATTTTTGGGAACTATTGATATTCTGTGAAGTAAAACTGTCGTTCGAAAAGAAAATAAAACAAACTAACGTGACAATAGAAATGAAACTAGATGCCTTAAAGAGACTGGACAAAAGGGAAAGTGTAAAGAAATCTACCATGGGTTTAGGTTTTGGACGGACTACTTCGATACGATAGAAAACGAAGAAGTCCGAAATCGAGTCTTGGTGTGCGAAAAGAGCATGTATGGATAGTTTAAACGAAAGAAAAAGAATGAAAGATAGTGCATACGAAAAAGTGAGTTGTGATTCAGGCAGCAAAGGGATCAGAAAACACTCATTTTATGAAACATTTTACAAAAGAAAGCCCTAAAATTGTATGATGAACTTCAAGAAGGAGAGTCTGGATTTACTGCTAGTTCTGGCTACCTCGACAGATGGGAAAAGAGGTAAGGCAGTTAAAAGTTTGCGTGGAAACGTTATCTGCTAAGTTGGAAAATGCTGCATTATTCAAGGATAATTTACGCAAACTAATTGAAAAGGAAGATATATCTGGAGATAAAATTTATAACTGTGATGAGACCAGTCTGAATTTTCAAATGCTACCTTCGAAAACGCTGGCATCCAGGGAAGAAAACTCGCCACCTGGCTACAAAAGAAGCAATGAGAGAGTCAAAATCTTGGCAAGCAACAGGTAGCCATAAGCTCAAATTAGTGCTTATAGGCAAATTAAAAAATCCCGGGCGTTTGAAAACGCAAAAAAAAGTAGACTAATGGGACCGAAACCAACTATGATCTTCTTGTTTGGTACCGGAATCAGTCAAATGTATGGATGAATTTAGCAATATTTAATGATTGATTTCATCAGCGGTTCGTTCCATCGGTGGAAAAGTTTTTAAAATCAAACAATCTACCTTGGAAGGCGATTCTCATTCTAGACAATGTCTCATCCCATCCTGGTGCAGAGCATTTACGAGACGAAGATATAATAGCCATGTTTCTCCCTCCTAAACGTTACTTCAGGGCGTCAGTCGATGAACCAGGTTGTTTTGGAGGTATTGAAGAAAACACACAGACGTAAACGTTTTTTATCTCTTGTTCTAGCCATCGAGAAAGGATGTGATATGATCGAGGAACTGAAGAAAATAGATATGTTGCGTGGATAGCTCATTTTCTGAGTGAAATCAAGCAGATAAGCCTCGTTCATTCGTGGAAAAAGTTGCTGGAATATTCAGGAAACGAATTTCTCGAAAGCAGGGAAGAGACAGAAAATTATGAAATTTGTGGCTTACTTGAGAAGATTCTAGGTTGTGAAGAAGTTACTGATAATGATGTTGAAGAATGGATGGGACAAGACGAAACTTGTGAAATTTTAGGACATGCAGAAATAGTTGCACTGGTGAAAGACAATGTGGATAAAAATGAAGATGAATCAGAAAACGAAGAGCTTGAAGACAACGAAAAGGCTAGAAGTGATGACCCATAGTGAAGGACTGAAAGCTGCTGAAGGAATACTCCGTTACATGGAGAAGCAAAGCGCATCTGGTATGGACATTTTATTCCTCCATCACCTACGGGATGAAGCTGCACGATGACGGAATGAGTGTGAGAGACAATTTACCATCACACGATATTTTTTTACCAAGAACTACTAATAATTTTTCTTCGTTTTTGTATGTAAATGTTTTACTCAATTATCTTAGGGTATTTGTTCTTTTAATGACTCCTATTGTGCTAGAACATAACACAAAAAGTTAACATTAATTTAATTGTATGCTGTAGTTTTCAGAGTCCAATATTGTACTACAAAGGTCTAGAGTAATTTACAATTCAATATCGTAAATTATTCTGAAAAGCACACCCGTTATTCCTTAAACCTCGACAGTCTCTCAATGTCGAGTTTGTCTTGTCAATGTCTTGTGGATGTCGAGTTTGCGGGACTATACTATTACAAGTCTTGACATTTCAAATGTTTCGAAATGTGGCTTATGTACTTGTTAAGTACTTTACCTAACTGGTCCGGATATAAGACGATATTTTTTCTCTTTCTGCTGTAAATCATCTTTAGAATTGCAGAATTGTCTTAAGACCTACCCAAAATGTACTGTAACTTTTTTATGTATGCATAATATGGTGATTTCTCATAAAATGAATAAGAATAATTTGTTTCCGAAATGAAATTAACTTGGACTAAAATCAACTTAGACTAAACGGAAAATTCGCAGCAAAATTTAAAGGATGCATAGGAAGTCTCTTTGAATTAGTCTGAATGAACCTTTCATTTGGACTAGGTTTAGGAACATTTAAAACCAGAATTTTCATTAGAAATTTCACTTATTGAATTTTAATTTAACGACATTTTTCTTGTAGGAATATTATATGATTAACTGACTGCAACTCTTATCTTAAAACTCATTTTGGAGATTTCATGTACTTATAATCGTGTTTCCTTTTTATGACTTACAACAAAGTCAAGCTCCAACTAACTGCAGAAGACTTTCGATTCTTCAATCCTGCTCTTAAAAAGAATTTGCTACCTCATATGTCACTTATAATCCTTTTTTACCTAGGCCAGATTTCTTTTAGTACCATTATATTCGATCTTAAATGTCTGAGAGATAATTTCACACAGTTTGATTTATGACTACAATAGCTGTACCATCCAACTTAATGCCAGCTTTCAGATTAGTTGCAAGTGTGCGATAGAAGCGATGTAAACTTTCCTGCTGTATTTTTATAGAGCATTAAAGTTGGCATAAACTCTTTTCGGACAAATTCTTAAGATATTAGAGCGATATCCAATCCCGCAGAAGTTAAACATAATAAATCACATTATATCATTTTTAAAATCCCCAGTTGACTGCTCACATAATAAGAAATCCAATAAATTTATTATAAATGAGAAATAAAGACTGGGTTAATAAGGAATAAAATTTAGAAATGAAGTTTCTGTCATTCTTATCTGCCTTTTTATATTTGCTTGTCCTTAATGATATATTCTCCAATAGAAGCGGTTTTAAGGAAAAAAAGCTCTAGCCCAAGTTTACGAGAATAACCAAAAGATATTGCATTTTATTGAACTATAAAACTTTGGCAAAAGCATTACGGCACTTTAATATTACTTTAAATTTTAGATATGATGATGAGGAAGCAATTTTTATGTAACTTTTG